ACCACCCAGAGGACCTTTTCAGCAACCTCTCCCAGATTATGGAATGGAATGGCCTGCCAGATCAGATCTGTCATATTACCACCTTAAACAGCTTTAAAAAGGCTGTTAAGACGGATCTCTTCTGGCAGGCCTTTCCTGAATAGATATCCCTGCCACCAAGATCCCTTATCCCTGATTCTGCTGTGGTTATTGTTTATTTGCGTTATTATTTTAAGTATGTTTTAAACTGTCAACTGTTTAATAGTGTTTTAAGGGGGGGTGGGATTGTGGGATATGAAATGTATATTTTAATGTTGTAAGCCACCCCGGTTGTGTTACACAGAGGGACAGGATAAAAATAAATTTTATTATTATTATTATTATTATTATTATTATTATTATTATACACATACTAGAAGCTGAAACCAATAGCAATAGCAAATACATGTCTATACTGTTTATCAGTGCACTTAAGCACTCCCTAAGGCCTAAGCAGTCTACAATGTGTAAGCTAATTGCCCCCAACAAATTGGGTATTCATTTTAGCCACTTTGGAAGGATGTCAGGCTGAGATACATCCAGCCTTTTCCTAATGGGAGTAGAAAAAAAAAATAAGGCAATGACTTAATCCTTGAAATAAACCATGTGCAGCATAGCATTAAAGCTGTGTTCAGAGTAAGTTCATCCATTCTTTCATAAACCCAGCTCAGCAAAGTTACTGTCTTTTGAACTACAATTCCCAGCTCCCTGTTTATGCTGGCTGGGGGTTCTGGGAATTCTAAGGCAATTTTTATAAAGCACTGGTTATTAGTAGCTTTATGTTCCTGCCATGTTCATTTCTACATTTAATATAACCTGGGATAGCAGTTACTTGATAGTGTGATAACTGTGATAAGAGTTAAATAGTGCTATGAGTCAAATAATCTCTACCCTTTAGTTGGTTGCCTGAAGAATAAGACCCACTTCTTCACTACTGCAGCTCCAAACAGCAATAACCAACCTTGCTGGCACTGGCTCACATCCTTCTGTTGGCATAATATTATAGGCTTCCCAAATGAGCTGGGTGGAATAACTTAAGCATGCTCCTGTGCTTTTAACAGTAGCTTCATCTCCAGAAGCCAGTAGGTTAAAGTTTTCATGGCATGGAGGATAAGTATTATCACCTCCTAATGGCTGCAGATCAAGTTGCTGTTAAAAGGAACTAAGAGCAGGGACTTACTCAAGAACTGGCAAACAACCCTTAATAGACATAAATTGGCATACCTGGTCCTGATTGCCCTTTGTCTCACCTTTTTGTTGGCTGATCTTCCCCCAGATGCAGAATAGCCAAAAATAAAACAAAAGGCTCTTTGCGCTGCTAACATCTGTTTCAGAATCCTGTTGCCATTAACAGCAATATAAAAAAGCCTCCTCTATTCCTCATTATGCTTCCCCAGCAATAGCAAAAATCTAATACTCTGATAATTATTATTTTTAAGTAAAATGACCAGTATATCTTACTTAGGAAGTAAAAACATGTTTATCTTGACTTTCCTGGACTTTTAAGAGTCTTTTGGTACTCACATGGCCAGAAGGAGAAGGGGTCAGCCTGCATAAATACCCTTCCATAAATACCATCTGAACGCAGGACAGCCACCACAACATCTTGACAAACTGCAGGCTTATAACTAATGTAGTAAATTTTCCCTTTTTCTGGTATGATTTTTAACACCTTTGCCTGATGAAGAAGCCCATGGAGCTTTGAAAGCTTGCAAATGTATAATGTGCATTTCGTATGGCCCAATAAAAGTACCACTGTTTTGTGGATTTTAGATGATATTGTACATTGCTATATGGCCAACATGGCTACCCTTGGATATGTTTATCTGTAGACATTGTTCTTTGGGGCCTAACTACATGTTGTGTATTTGGTTGCATTTTACCAGTGTTAGTTGTGTCACATGAACCAGCATGGTGTAGCAGTTTGACTACTTGATTACAACTTTAAAGACCAGGGTTTGAATCGCCACTCAGTCATGGAAATCTTGGGAAAGTCACAGACAATCTTCTGGGCTCAGTCAATCATTCTTTCCTTATTATGTGTAATAAGCCAAAATGGGCAAGCTGAACATGGCCTGGGATTGGGACCTTATCATCAGGCTACCAATTGAGATTCATCCAATACAACTGGGCCAGACACTTTTTGGGGCATCTCCCCTAATAGGACAGCACTATGCATAGTAATCTATGTTGTGATAGATGAGAACAACTATTTATTTATTTACTGTATTTATACCCTGCCCTTCAGTCAGAAAGGCTCTCAGAGCGGCTAATTAATTAATAATAATAATTAATAATTGTACAGATCTACACTGAAAATTAGACTTGGATCAGCTCACTCTTCTAACTCAAAGCCACAGTAATTGCCTCTTTAAATTGGGATTTACCACACTCTATTTATGCCATCTTTTCTTCTTGACACTTTGTTTTTTGTGCCCTCAACCTGGAGATGATTCTGTCAGGGAGAATGCTACCTTTACCTTTTGCAAAACTTTCCCACACTATTCCCTTATTTGCTACTCTTGCTTCCCAATTATCCCCTCCAAATGATGATGTGGCATGGCAGACTCCTCTCCTCTGGATTCAGCATTGAGAAGCAGCTGGTATGTTGCCATCAAATGGATTAAAAGGTAAGGCTACATGGTCTTAATTACCTGGCATGCAGTCAAGGCTGCTGATGCAATGCCGTACTTGCATAATGCATGTTTAGGTCTTTTGAGCCTCAAGCATAGATCCAGCCTTTCCCTTCAAAGTGTTTTGCAAATATACACAGCATGCCACCAAGGATACATCCAAGAGGAGACAGGAAGCCTTGAGTGTCAGCATTGCTTCAACTCTCACTCTGCCTGGGAACCCTTGTATACAGTAAGAGGATTCTGAACATACAATGGCTACATGTAAACTGGAGGAAGAATATCATTCAGAAAAGGTTTACACCACATCACAGCTACAGCTGATTGTGCTACCAGGGCAGTACTCACATAACAGTAACAAGAATGAGAAAAATGCTGCCTTCCAGATACTGTTACAGGAGGGTGAACATTAAGTCCTTGCCCAACCAAGCAACTGATTGCAATGGTCATTCTTTTTGTACAATGGAATGGCAACTTTGACAGATCTGGGGGCATTTTTTTGTTTTTGTTTTTTGCCCTAGAAGTCTGCAGGGGCCCAAACATAGGAGGAAAACAATAGAATGGGCTGAAACTTGACTTATGGCTTTGGTGGGAAAAGATTTTAAGAAATGTTGAACATTGCTGTTAAAACAGTTGAAGCTCTTTAAAGGAAAACATCTGATCTCTTTAAAGGGTAGACTGCCACTTCTGGAAAACCTCTAGAGAGGCAATTCACCCACCTCTCTTTTCTTCAGAAAAAAAATAATGGCCTGACAGGATTGGAGGCTAAAAATTGTCCAGGGAACCACAAGCAGCCTTAGGACTACACTTTGCCCACCTCTATTTTACAGCAATCTGAATGAGCAGCTGGATTACAGTCTTAAGCACATATTAAAATATAGGCAAATCAATCATGATGGGAGGGCCAACGTGGTGTAGTGGTTTGAGTGTTGGACTATAACTGGAGACCAGGGTTCAAATCCCAGCTTAGCCATGAAACCCACTGGGTAACCTTGGCAAGTCACAATCTCTCAGCCTCAGAGGATGGCAATGGCAAACCCCCTCTGAAGAAACTTGCCAAGAAAACCCCATGATAGGGTCTTAGGATCACCATCAGTTGGAAATGATTTTGAAGGCAGAAAACAACAACAGAGTATGTCCCGGATTCCTCTGCAAGTTATTTGCCTTATCAGATTGATAATGTGGGCAGTGAAATACTTACGTCTGACTAAATGTCCAAACAAACCTCCAGCTCCTTCTTTGGTGTGCCTTTGCCTCATGAAAAGCCCACAGTGGTTTGCTCTGTGACTGCGATGACTCATTTGCTAATAGCTATTTTGTGACCAGGGCCTTTTCCAGTGAACCAGGATTACTGATCTTTTCCACACATAACATGAAAAATATCCTTCCACCAAGTAGAGTGAGCTGTAGCACATCTGCTGGAACTTGGCTCTTGTTCACTTAAGCATTACACATGCCCTTTGGTAAAGCAAACCACCTGTTGCCTGCGCACAATTTAGCCGCAAGCACTCTAAATGTTTCTCTGAGGAGGAAATCCATCCAAACTACTGATGGGGAGTGACAACCTTGGCATTCTTTTCCACTCCATTTGCTGGTGTGCCATTTATTGTATTCTCCACAGAGCATTGCAGTCTTTAGCCCAGGGTTGTTGATTTTTTTTTTTTTGCCCCTGCAAGAAAAAAACAGAAAAGGGGTTCATACAAAGCCAAAAGCAAACAAATTCTGTTTCCCACTTATTAAGATTCAGATCCCAAATGGGAAATGAAACTCCTTGTTTCCCCCATCCCACCAAGTCACCATTTCAGAAGCTAAGAATGAACTTGGTAAATAAGAGCAGGGTAAGGGTGAAGGTAGAAAGGAAACATACACATACATATACACGCACACACACACACACACAGAGCAATATGATATCCTTCAATAAGCTGCTATGCTAATCTATCCTGCATTCTGTTTCTGGTCTGGGGCCAAAAATTACTTGTATTTTATTTTTAGAAACTTAAGCTAATCAGTAAGAATGTGCCAGAAGTCAGTTTTAGGCCAGATCTTTTGAGGTAGAGTTAAAATTTATAAAGGAAGGGTTTTGGTTGACATGTCAGGGTCACAAATGGATCCTTTAACCGGACCCCCTCAGTAAGAGGGATCAAAGAAGGACCATGTTTAAGCACAACTGAAAAGAAAAAAGAAAAGAAGAGGTTAAGTTTCTGGTGTATGCAGTAAATCTTCATTCCGAATATGATAAGACAGTAGGGGGAATATATCAGAAAAGTGTCCACCACATGAAAAATAAAGAAGAAACCACCACATTTGATGAGTGTGTGCATGTATAAGACCCTCGAGGACCAGTGAACCTAAACCAGGTTCATATGTTAACTGGCAAGAAGCTTGAAGAAGAGCATTTATATCCATTTCCCTGCACCATGCAGATCAGTAGTTCTCAGACTTTGGTTCTACTGATATTTTTGACTGCAGCTACCAAAAATCACTGGGTGGCCTTGGGCAAGTCACATGCTCTCAGCCTCAGGGGAAGGCAATGACAAACCTCCTCTGAACAAATCTTGCCAAGAAAACCCCACGCTGTTGCTCATGGCCACCTATTGAGATGGATGAGACATCTCCAAGATCCCCTGTCCTCCACTGCTCTGCTTAGGTGTTGCACATTTAGGCCCATGACCTCCCAGATTGAGTCTAGCCATCTAGTCTTCCTCTTTTTCTACTATCCTCTACCCTTCCTAGCATTTTTGCCTTTTCTAATGATCCATGCCTTCTCATGATGTGGCCAAAATACATCATCTTGGATTCCAGGGAATGTTCAGGCTTGATCTGTTGTAGGAACCATTTGATTGTCTTTTTGGCCATCCATGGTATCCTCAGCATTCTCCTCCAGCACCACATCTCAAATGAGTTGATTTTCTTCCCATCCACTTCCTTCACTGTCCACGTCTCACATGGTAATGGTGAATACAATGGCTTGGATGATTCTAACTTTAGTGCTCAGTTGTATATCTTTACACTTTAAAACCTTGTCTACTTTTTTCATAGCTACCCTCCCCATTCCCTGTCTTCTGATTTTTTTTATCCATAATTGAATCAAGGTACGGGAAAATCTTTAACTATTTCTATTTCCTCATTATCTAGTTTGAATTTATGTAGTTCCCTGTGGTCATTATTTTTGTTTTCTTAATGTTCAGCAGTTAAGTCTGCCTTTACACTTTCTCCTTTAACTTTCCTTAGTAACTGTTCCAAGTCTATGATCTTTTCCGTTAGTATTATAGTGTCATCTGCATATTTTAGATTGTTGATGTTCACTTAAGATCGCTGTAAGTCAGAAATGACGTGAAGGCACACAACAACAACAGCAACAACAACAACAACAAACCAGAAATCCTGACCAGTGGCTATACTGTCTGGGCCTTCTGGGAGTTGAAGTTCAAAACATCTAAGGGCTAAAGCATT